AACATCATCATTGTTGGTCTCCCCCTGCCTCTGTTCCCCTGTTGCCACATCGTACATCACTTGTTTCTCTCTTTCCTGTGATATCTCCACAACAGGTGGAATTCTCATTTCTTATGACTGTTTTTTTTTTTTATGTTGACGTGTAAAAATGTTTTTGTGTTAGCTGCAATTACTTGCCAGGGCAGTGCCTGAGTTCATACCTTAGTACTGGTAGAATTTACTGCAACCTAGATGTTGATCCAGCCTTTTTTCTTGAAAATTTCTGGGAATGAAAATAGATGGTAAGGATACTTGGTCACAATGCCTCAGGATCTATGGCCAGTCAAATGTTTAGACTGAACAGTTCCTTCAACTGCATCTGTCATGTGGATACCATTGCCGGGAGTATCTCTAGTTTTACTTTCACATTCATATTGTAAACAGTCATAATCTAGTTGGACCACTTCAATAAAATAAATATGTTCGGCTGTTTTTTTTAAAAAACTGATGTGCAATTGAACATTTATCATCTTCTGGAGAAAAGTGTTAAATTCCAAACAGATTCATTCTCACACACGTTTTTGTGAAAGTATTTATATTGCTGACTTGATCTTGTGTTTAGATGACTCATGTATCTGGCTGCCATTCTCTTGTTTATTTCGTCCCATCACCCCCATTGTTTTATTTAAAAAAAAAAAAAAATTTTTCAACCACTATCATTTATTTTCTTCGGATCTTTCAAATCCTATCCTTAAAAAAAAAAAATCACACACAGATATATTGGGCATTTGGAGCATACATAAATTATCACCTTGTTTATTCTTTTCCTGCCTGCTTTTTCTCTCCCTGTAGGCTTTCACCACTCACTCCGTCTAGGTTTCCTGATCTCCCCCTGTCTCTCAAGGTTTTCTACTTTCTCCCTGTGGAGGTTTTTTGTTCTCTGCATGTGGTGTTTCCTCCTCACATGATGCAACAACTTCAACCAGGCAGAAGTGACTGAGATTTTGACTTCTTATAGTAAGTGTGCTTGTGGGGGTTATGGGATATGGTCTATATCTGACATATTGCATGCGCCACAACTCTCTCATCATTTATTAACTTTGAACATTCCCCCTCCCCATACCCTGGTCACCTCTGTCCTCTCCCTTCATTTCCACTTATGTTCTTACCCTGGCTTCTTCTTCTTACTCTATCTGTGTTTCCCCTCCTCTTCTATGTACATTGTTAGCTAGAGAAGGTGGTACATGTATTTGGTAGAAGTTGAGGTGTGTCCCACTGTAGATTGAAACCCTTGAAAATGGGTTATGTAGACACATGCCAAACAAATTCTTACCAGTAGTAGGTATATAATTATGTAGACAAATAGAAAGAAGCTGACAGGAGTAGAAAACAGAAATGTTAGCAAAAATGAGATCCAAGAAAACATGACTGAAATAGAGGCTACCAGAGACCCATTACGGTAGATCTTCTGTGTGAAGGTGGTTCCTGATGATGGGGTTGACAGCTTCTGTCAGCAGTGATTACCCAGAATTCTTTCATCAGTTATCATTTCCTTAGTTAACCTCTGCTAATATTGAATGTACCATTTTAACATTGCATGAGCTCAGAGTCATTTGTTTCATTCTGATTGGTTTCTTCCTCACACTTCCTGTATAGACTAACAAGCAGTATCTGCTGTGTGTGTGTGTGTGATTGTGCATTGAAGTTAGACTGGCCAGTTCTTTGGCAGGTGTTTTGTGGCACAGTAAAGATGTGTTAACTACGCTGGTTTCTGCATCATCATCATCATGTGTAATGCCACGTAGCATGGAAAGCTTTCTCACAGTCACCTGTCTTGAACCAGGTCTATGTTGTGGCACCAGTTTTTTTCTACATGTGGCTTTTAAGCCATGCTGACAATTCATCAGTGTTTTTTGACCATATGTGAGAAAGAATTGACACAAGAGCATTGTTGCAACTGGCAGGATTCATGGAAAAAAGAGCCATGGGTGGTCAAAGAGTTACAGACAGGATGGCATGGTCCTATACGATAAGGTGAGACAAGAGCTCTGACCTGATCCACGATTCTGTTCATTGTGTGGGATGGCAAAAACTTACCTGCCTATGCTTATCTACAGGGCACGTGATGCTGATGATTGATTGTCATGGATGATATAAAAAATTCAGTGAAAAAAGGGTGGGGCGCGGCTGTGTGTGTGTGTAAAACATTCTCTATAGAGTACTATAGGCAGGTTGGTGTGTGGTTGTGAGTTTCACTGTTTGGGCACTCACTCTGAGGGTCTGGAGGGCGGTAGGTGTGTGATTTGCTTGCACTCAGTAAATTGCATCTTTGTTTTTTTTTGCTGCAGCTTAATTTGCTTCATCAGTGCCTTTATTTGCACGTGAACCCAGATAACCCTGCTTGCTATCTTGCAAAAACTATTGCTGTGTCTTGCTAAGTTAATTATTACAGTATCTTATTTGGGAGGTGCTTTCGGCTGCTTCACCTTTGCTTGATTATCATTTTTAGTTCATTAGAGATTTTATGTTTAGCAAATCCTACAGTGTTTTTGTTGATTTTAATGATATGTGCATTTGTAATTGTTAGGTTTTAGAGCTATTATCTTAGCATGGTGTCATGTAAACACTAGCCAGAGTTGCCAGCACAGTACTCCTATGATTACATCTGGTCTGGTGTAACCACTAGCCAGAGCTGCCAGCACAGTACTCCTATGATTACATCTGGTCTGGTGTAAACACTGGCCAGAGTTGCCAACACAGTACTCCTATGATTACATCTGGTCTGGTGTAAACACTGGCCAGAGTTGCCAGCACAGTACTCCTATGATTACATCTGGTCTGGTGTAAACACTAGCCAGAGCTGCCAGCACAGTACTCCTATGATTACATCTGGTCTGGTGTAAACACTGGCCAGAGTTGCCAACACAGTACTCCTATGATTACATCTGGTCTGGTGTAAACACTGGCCAGAGTTGCCAGCACAGTACTCCTATGATTACATCTGGTCTGGTGTAAACACTGGCCAGAGTTGCCAGCACAGTACTCCTATGATTACATCTGGTCTGGTGTAACCACTAGCCAGAGCTGCCAGCACAGTACTCCTATGATTACATCTGGTCTGGTGTAAACACTGGCCAGAGTTGCCAACACAGTACTCCTATGATTACATCTGGTCTGGTGTAAACACTGGCCAGAGTTGCCAGCACAGTACTCCTATGATTACATCTGGTCTGGTGTAAACACTAGCCAGAGCTGCTAGCACAGTACTCCTATGATTACATCTGGTCTGGTGTAAACACTAGCTAGAGCTGCCAGCACAGTACTCCTATCATTACATCTGGTCTGGTGTAAACACTAGCCAGAGCTGCTAGCACAGTACTCCTATGATTACATCTGGTCTGGTGTAAACACTAGCTAGAGCTGCCAACACAGTACTCCTATCATTACATCTGGTCTGGTGTAAACACTGGCCAGAGTTGCCAACACAGTACTCCTATGATTACATCTGGTCTGGTGTAAACACTAGCCAGAGCTGCTAGTACAGTACTCCTATGATTACATCTGGACTGGTGTAAACACTAGCCAGAGCTGCTAGTACAGTACTCCTTTCATTACATCTGCTTGTGGACATGGATATCTTCAGCGTTAATTAAAACAAAATGTAGAGAATCCTTCTTACGCCAACGGATCTAGACTTATATTTTAGTCGACCAAGCGGCACTTGCTGGGGGATATGGTCAACATCAGATGGCCTTCTTGACTTCTCAGGCCATAACTTGGTATCTGTTTTAGGCTGAGTCTCTTGGCAGCCAAAGCTGACTTTGAAAACAGACTCACTGCAGAGTCTTCAGTGTTAGCACTCAGTAAACAGACTGACTGCAGAGTCTTCAGTGTTAGCACTCAGTAAACAGACTGACTGCAGAGTCTTCAGTGTTAGCACTCTGTAAACAGACTGACTGCAGAGTCTTCAGTGTTAGCACTCAGTAAACAGACTGACTGCAGAGTCTTCAGTGTTAGCACTCTGTAAACAGACTGACTGCAGAGTCTTCAGTGTTAGTACTCTGTAAACAGACTGACTGCATAGTCTACAGTGTTAGCACTCAGTAAACAGACTGACTGCAGAGTCTTCAGTGTTAGCACTCTGTAAACAGACTCACTGCAGAGTCTTCAGTGTTAGCACTCAGTAAACAGGTCATTTGTTTAATTTCAAACAGTCATAAAATCATCATAAGTCAGAGTGCTGCAGATTGCTGGTTGCCATACACAAAATATCCAAATATTTCATGAATCTTAACTTTTGGGTAGGCCTATGTTTTAAAAACATGATATTTTATAAATAGCATACTAATAATTAGTATATATAAATCTTTCCTGTAGTAATTGTTTATCATGCATATAATGTTAAGAATAAGTTTGAAGAAACTGATTGAAACCATGGATCAGAGATGGGAGGCTATAAGTGTTCAATATGAAATAAATAGTCTAAACCGAGATGCTTGTGTTGTCAGCCTGGGTGTTTCTGCTTCCCATGGAGCAGATATCAAGTCACTGACAGTCGACAATTGCTTTATTTAGTCAGTGATTTGTTGTCAGCCTGGGTGTTTCTGCTTCCCATGGAGCAGATATCAAGTAACTGACAGTCAACAATTGCTTTATTTAGTCAGTGATTTGTTGTCAGCCTGGGTGTTTCTGCTTCCCATGGAGCAGATATCAAGTCACTGACAGTCGACAATTGCTTTATTTAGTCAGTGAATATTTTATTCTGTTGATTAATTATTAAAATGTTTAGATTTATTTAATGTGCCAGTGTGAAATGTTGTGGCTTGGGTGTTAGTTGTAGCATATTGTAGACAAATCTCCATAGTTGCACGTTTAGCCATTCTATATTGTAGAGAAATGTTTGATGTTAGCCTTGAAGCATGTTGAGCCACATGATCTTGTAGAGAAATGTTGCTAGTTGTGGCTTGATTGTGATGGCATGTTTAGCTATGGTATTGATGTGCTCCTGCATGTGTTGACAGAAGAGCCTGTGACAGTGACTGTGAAACGATCAGAATCAACCAAAGACCCCAAGTGTAAGTCTCCAGCCGTGTTTACCCTAGCAACCACATCTCAAGGTTCCAACTGCCTCCTCTTCATCTCTCTCTGTTTATTTTCACTCACATTTTTTTTGTCTTTTGTCTTTGAAGTATTTTTTTTAACTTTCCTGTTTTGTTCCTGTGTATTTTTATTTTTGTTTTATTGTGTTTAATAGTAGGTTGAAATAATATAACTGAAAATTACATTACTGAATTATGATTTATGTTTTTAATTTCTTTTTGTTGATCAATGTTTCATTTGATTTTAATTTTGTGAATTTAAATATGTAATTACCCCTAAAATAAGATATGCATTCCAATAATTTGGGACATGTCCTCCATAACCTCTGGTGGACAGCCATTGTTTGAACTCTCTGCTGTGAGTAGAATTATACAGAAACATGTCTTCCATAACCTCTGGCGGACAGCCATTGTTTGAACTCTCTGCTGTGAGTAGAATTATACAGAAACATGTCTTCCATAACCTCTGGTGGACAGCCATTGTTTGAACTCTCTGCTGTGAGTAGAATTATACAGAAACATGTCTTCCATAACCTCTGGCGGACAGCCATTGTTTGAACTCTCTGCTGTGAGTAGAATTATACAGAAACATGTCTTCCATAACCTCTGGCGGACAGCCATTGTTTGAACTCTCTGCTGTGAGTAGAATTATACAGAAACATGTCTTCCATAACCTCTGGCGGACAGCCATTGTTTGAACTCTCTGCTGTGAGTAGAATTATACAGAAACATGTCTTGAGGCACACAGGAGATATGAGATGGTGGCTAGCTGGCCCACATACTCCTGCTCTATTGATGTGTACCTTTTGTGGTCTGTCACGTTAAGATTGGTTCCCCCTGTTAGTCAGTAGCTACCAAATGTTTGGTCTAGCACTTTCTCATTGTCTTCTACTGTGCCACATCCTGATGATCCCATACACAAATATCCATGTCCATAGTTAGCTTATAATCCCATACACAAATATACATGTCCATAGTTAGTCCACAGGTTATCCTCACTGCACAGCAAACCATTCAGTCCGTTCCCATACACAAATATACATGTCCATAGTTAGTCCACAGGTTATCCTCACTGCACAGCAAACCATTCAGTCCGTTCCCATACACAAATATACATGTCCATAGTTAGTCCACAGGTTATCCTCACTGCACATCAAACCATTCAGTCCGTTCCCATACACAAATATACATGTCCATAGTTAGTCCACAGGTTATCCTCACTGCACAGCAAACCATTCAGTCCGTTCCCATACACAAATATACATGTCCATAGTTAGTCCACAGGTTATCCTCACTGCACAGCAAACCATTCAGTCCGTTCCCATACACAAATATACATGTCCATAGTTAGTCCACAGGTTATCCTCACTGCACAGCAAACCATTCAGTCCGTTCCCATACACAAATATACATGTCCATAGTTAGTCCACAGGTTATCCTCACTGCACATCAAACCATTCAGTCCGTTCCCATACACAAATATACATGTCCATAGTTAGTCCACAGGTTATCCTCACTGCACAGCAAACCATTCAGTCCGTTCCCATACACAAATATACATGTCCATAGTTAGTCCACAGGTTATCCTCACTGCACAGCAAACCATTCAGTCCGTTCCCATACACAAATATACATGTCCATAGTTAGTCCACAGATTATCCTCACTGCACAGCAAACCATTCAGTCCGTAAATGCTCGGACGGCCTCCTTGGTAAGTCCAACAGCGTGTAGTGGCTCATGTCACCAGTTCTTTGTTGGTTTCTTATTTGGATTCCTGCATAGTCCTCTTGTCTGGCCACACCCCTTTTAACATATTGTTCTTGCAGTCTGGTCTTGATTGCAGATTCAGAGTCATCACTTGGTTCTCACAAACGTCTTACTTTCCATAGAGCATTTAGAATATCGTCTGGGTCCAAGTCTCGTCCGTCCTCTACAGTAGCTTTAACTGCGAGCCTATCAGCTTGCTCATTTCCTTGTACTCTTGCGTACTATGGCACAAATATGAAACTGATATTTGTCAGCCGGGACTGCTTCGGAGACTTCAACCACTGATTTCAGACTCAGCCCATCGCTATCTTCCTGAGTATACTCGATTAGACACTGGTAAAGCATGCATGGCTGTGAGTACATACATAAATATGTTCACGCATGTCTACATAGATGCCACACAACTCTGGCCTGACTGTGTGTAAGTCTGCCGTAGACTAACCATCATAATGTTTTGTGTATTGCTCCATGTGGACCATACCAGCTTCTGATAGCTAGAGGCTGTTATGACCTGGGTGGTTGTTGTAGGAGAGCCATGCTACCCTGCTCTGACTTGTGTCCACCTGATACTTCTGGTTATCATGTAAACTACAGAGATGGAATAGGGGTGCCTTGTGATGGTCTAGTAGTGTCATCCAGTCATTTGTCTCAGATCTTATATTCTGCTGATATCATTGGTAGAGAGACCCTGTTGGCATAAATGTCAGAATAAATAAACACTCAGTGAATATGTTTACATTAACTTATCCATCAGCTTTGCATTCCACAAGTGGCACACCTTCACCTGTGGCATAGTCTTCCTTCAACATTCACTCAATAAAAAGCTGTCTTGACAATTTATGTTGGCTATTTATCTCCAACAATTTCTAGTGGTGCACTACCATTCAACTGCTTGTCCATCTCTTTATATTCTCACTTGTAGTTTAAAAAACTATTGTGAACCTGTTACTGCAATGTTGAGACTCATATTACATGACCAAAGTCATATTGTCTTCTATTACCTTTTACTCTGTGTTTGTTCTGGTATAATCCCTGATCACTCGACACCTGAAGTAAAGGGGGGGGGGGAGTGGTTATGTGCTGCCGCCCCCCCCCCCTCCCCCCAGTTAAAATGGGGCCCTGGGACCCACACCCTGGAGCATCCTGTTGTCAGTCTGAAGACTTTGGTCTGCTCTTGTGTTCCAGGTTGTGTGTTGTGATCTGATCTTCTTCTCACTTGTATTTCCATGGACTAAATAAAGCAGTAGTTACCCAGTGTTCACTTGTTGTCCTGGTAGATGATTCTTCTTCATTATAGGCCCTGTTGTTTATTTACATTTCAGTTATGTTTGGTTTTCTTTATGTTGTACATTTTCTCCCCCATTTTGTTATGTATATATTTTTCATTTCTTTCCCCCTGACCGTTCAGTTGTTGAGAAGTTGGAGCGGACAATAGTTGAGAGGTCAAAATCTGAGCGTCGCCCAAAGGGTAAGTTATCTTCACCTGCCTGTGGGATGTATCGGCTGTCACATTTCAGCCAATGGAAAACGTAACAGGTACAAGGCTTTCGAGAACTGCCAGGCAGAAGTGGGCACTTACCCACAAGAACAGTATTTCTCTGAATAGAGGAGATCACTTGTTTTCAAGTAGAATACTGAGAAATAACAGTAACTGAGAGGGAAACTGTAAATATTAGAGGAAATAGCCAGAATCTGGGTACTGCAATACATACATATCATACATATTTGCTCCAAAGACAAAGAGAAAATCTGTTTTATGAAAACAATCGTATTTATAAATCCTAATTGTAAACCAAAAGTATTCAACGTGAGATTGCCTGTAAAGAAGATTTGAAAAGCATGCTAGTCTGTTTTGATGCAACAGGGTTGTGGCTTTTTTCTTCAGTCCTGTTGTCATATACACTCAGAAATAATTTTCATGTGTTTGTATGTCATCCTGAGGGTCATATGTTGGAATCCTCAGGAAGGTACGGATTTAAACCCAAAAAATAGATCTGGTTCCCCAAATAGATCTAGTCTCAGATGAGCACCAGGAAATGTCTGGAAAGTAAAAACAGCTGGCAAGTATTGACCACATCATTGATTTGAGTCAGACATTGACCACTTCACTGATTGTGCTAGATGTTGACCATACCACTGACCAAGTCAGATATTGACCTCACCACTGGCCCAGTCTGATATTCATCACATCACTGATTGTCAGACATTGACCACATCACTGATTGTGTCAGACATTGACCACATCACTGATTGTGTCAGATATTGACCACATCACTGATTGTATCAGATATTGACCACATCACTGATTGTATCAGACATTGACCACTTCACTGATTGTGCTAGATGTTGACCATACCACTGACCAAGTCAGATATTGACCTCACCACTGGCCCAGTCTGATATTCATCACATCACTGATTGTCAGACATTGACCACATCACTGATTGTGTCAGACATTGACCACATCACTGATTGAGTCAGATATTGACCACATCACTGATTGTATCAGATATTGACCACATCACTGATTGTATCAGATATTGACCACATCACTGATTGTATCAGACATTGACCGCATCACTGATTGTATCAGACATTGACCACATCACTGATTGTGTCAGATATTGACCACATCACTGATTGTATCAGATATTGACCACATCACTGATTGTATCAGACATTGACCGCATCACTGATTGTATCAGACATTGACCACATCACTGATTGTGTCAGATATTGACCACATCACTGATTGTATCAGACATTGACCACATCACTGATTGTGTCAGATATTGACCACATCACTGATTGTATCAGACATTGACCACATCACTGATTGAGTCAGATATTGACCACATCACTGATTGTGCCAGATATTGACCACATCACTGATTGTGCCAGATATTGACCACATCACTGATTGAGTCAGATATTGACCACATCACTGATTGTGCCAGATATTGACCACATCACTGATTGAGTCAGATATTGACCACACACTGATTGTATCAGATATTGACCACACACTGATTGTACCAGATGTTGACCACATCACTGATTGTGACTGACGTTGACCACATCACTGATTGGGCAGACATTGACCACATCACTGATTGTGCCAGATGTTGACCACATCACTGATTGTGACTGACATTGACCACATCACTGATCAGCACCTATTAGTTTATACACATAAGGGACTACAGCCATATTATCTGTAAAGTTTTGAAATTGATTATTGACCTTTCACCTCTCCCTGCATCATGTATACAGAATAGGATTGTTCTGGGTTGCCTTTTGCCAGGACTAGCCAGTGGTATTCTCACTAAGGCATGTTTCTCCAGGGCTGTTGAAGTGTTGTGTGACTTGTTGCATGGAAATGCTGCATCTTCTATAGTTGCTAATTGATTTGAGAGATTTATTGATTTTTTGGCTGAGTTTATTGGCTGGAAAGATTAATGTCTGGAGAGAATTGTTGACTTATTTGTTGATCAAGATTTCTTGACTTGATATATTTTCTTGATGAGAGTTTTGATTGTTGAGATTTTTAAATTATTTCCATCTGCATTGCTTGTTTATGTTATAAAAAGCATACAAAGAACTTGTTACTTGGCAGGGTCTACCATTAGGGTATGAAACACTGACAGAAAATAACTAGTAATAGATTCACGGGGTATTTATGGCTAGCTGTCTTACTTGCCATATCACAGAGATGAATACAATAAAAGGTATGGCTGTGTATTCTGTGCCAGGCTGGTAAATATAGGAGTACAGCCTGGAGATGCCAGACTTGAGCGTATGGCTAAAGGCACAAAGGTGTTTGATTATCAACACAGAACAGTTGTTGTCAGTTTTACACTTGTGGAGCTATTGAGAAGGAGATGGCAGCACCAATGAATCTGTTTGGAGTTCTGTAATGATACACAATCACTAATTTCTTACTTCATTCCCTTGGCCAACTCAATGATTCATAAAGTTGATTTATCATTTGTAATAGAAACTTCAACTCAATTGTAATAATTAATGTCTTTATACCTGGAACAAGCCAAATTCTCTTATAAATTTGGCCTAATGCTAACAAATGGGAAAGACACTTGCAGTTTATAGGAACTATGTTTGTGTAGTGATTTTTGCACCCAGTAACAATAAAGGTCCTGATGTTGGTTCAGTGTAGTGCCAGGGTAAATGTTTGTTAGACAGTTACAGCTGTTGGGCCAACCCTGATACAGGAACTCTGGGAACGAACGAACGAACAAATTTATTTTCAAAGGGTTAAGAATTGGGCACGCAGGCCCGTCTAACATTCTGCCCTTCGAGGTCTCCCTCCGTTCTTACATCATTTAATTCATACATCAAGTAATATTAAAAATTAGCAATAGCATCAAAATAATCAATACAAGCACTGGAGTGTGCACATTTCTAACTCCAGTAAAACGTAGTAGTTGTAACAAATCTAGGGAAAATGTGCGCTATTTCTAACATATGTTTTATCTTCTAAGGGGGCATATAATCTGTGCTTAGATAATATTTGAACACTTTCTGATTGTATGTTTAGGGACAAGTGGTATTTTTGATTTGCTGTGGCAGATAGTTCCACATTTGAGCTGCGGAATACGCCAAACTTGTTAAAGATAGGTTTAGAGATGTGTAATATGTTTAGGCGCTCATTATGCCTTCTTTTATGTTTAAACAACGGCCATAAGTAACAAGGGCAGCCAGTGGCAGCTACCCATATTGTCTCTAAAATACCGTTTTATCACCAGTTTATTTGCCAGGCTTTTTATCTCAAAACATGTCTGCAAGGAGGCATGGACACGAAGTTACTTAGCATGAGAAAAAGATTTACAGGTATGGTCAGCGAAGAAAGTATTAGTGTTTGGAGGATACACTGGGTAATGCAGACATTTAAGGTTCAAACCTTTTCACCTCCAAATAGTGATCACACTCTTGCTAAAGGATTGCATTGTCAGTTTTACACCTTAAAGATCAGATGACATCCTGTCATCCACCGGATTCCACAACTGGTGAATGTAAACAATATCCACCCACATATTTTGGGAGGGGGGGAGGCAGATGGAAGCCAAGAGAGAAGATACTGGATAGTTCAATATGATTGCATGTCAGAGTTGATTGAAAGTACACAAGATAGAGGTTTGTGAATACATGATTACCTACGCCACATGGCAGAGGTGACTTTAGGAAGAAGGAGACATGCTTATTGGGAGGAGGTAGGCTGTGGGTCTGTCAGCACCCCTCTCCCTCCATAGAGTCCAAATCCCTCACAGAAATCCAGAGCTTAAATATTTACAAATGTAGTGATGAGACCTAGAGTTGAGGATCAGTTCTGTTTGATACTGCTGAGTGTTTGTGTAGTGTGTTCGTGAAGTATTCTGTGACAAGACTAACAGCAGTTGTTGGTTGTCTTGTGTAGGAGAAGAGCTGAGAGAGGGCAAGCCTTCCTCTCCCTCCAAGTCAGACACCCTGAAATCCACGGACAGTGCTAGTGGCGGCGAGACTCTGGAGGAGCGGAGCAGCAAGGAGGTCTGTACACATCTTCATTCGTTCTGTTTTTCTCTCCCTCCCTCTGACTCTTGTGGGATTGTGAGTGCTGTGTCTGTCAGTGTTGTGTATGTTAGTGTTATGTATGTTAGTTTTGTATCTGTTAGTGTTATGTATGTGTGAGTGTTGTGTCTGTGAGTGCTGATTCTGTGTGAGTGTTGTGTCTGTGAGTGCTGATTCTGTGTGAGTGTTGTGTCTGTGAGTGCTGATTCTGTGTGAGTGTTGTGTCTGTGAGTGCTGATTCTGTGTGAGTGTTGTGTCTGTGAGTGCTGATTCTGTGTGAGTGTTGTGTCTATGATTGATGTGTGAGTGCTGTGTCTGTCAGTGTTGTGTATGTATGTGTGAGTGTTGTGTCTGTGAGTGCTTATTCTGTGTGAGTGTTGTGTCTATGATTGATGTGTGAGTGCTGTGTCTGTCAGTGTTGTGTATGTGTGAGTGTTGTGTCTGTGAGTGCTGATTCTGTGTGAGTGTTGTGTCTGTGAGTGCTGATTCTGTGTGAGTGTTGTGTCTGTGATTGATGTGTGAGTGCTGTGTCTGTCAGTGTTGTGTATGTTAGTTTTGTATCTGTTAGTGTTATGTATGTGTGAGTGTTGTGTCTGTGAGTGCTGATTCTGTGTGGGTGTTATGACCATGTGAATGCTCTATATGAGGGTGTTGTCACTGTATGGTTGTTTATGTGTGTTGTGTCTATGAGTCTGTACTTACATGTATATGGTATGTCTTTGAGTGTTCGTGCCTGTGAGTATTGTGTCTGAGAGCGTGTGTCTGTGAATGTTGTGCTGTGTGTCTAAGTTGTATCGCTGTTTATGTGCTGTGTTTGTGAACAGTGTGCTTGTGTTGGGTGTCTGTCGTCAGTGTGTGCCTCTCAGCATGTAAGGGTGGTGTGTATGTTTGTGCTTGCGTGTGTCT